TTGTTATTTAGTACTAAGGTACCTTGCTCAGTTGCGTTGCTTTGTAAGCTCTCACAGTTTTATACCAATTTGAAAAACGTACCGTTCGCGATGAACAAAAAGAATGGTATTGGAGAGCCTAACCGAAACAGAGAGAATCTGCGCCTGAGATGCCGGTCGGACGTGTGTATACTATTGAATCGCTAGCGGTCGGTAAATTGTTAAAAACGACTGTAACTCGAGTCGATCTCTAAGCGTTTCACAGAACTTTGCACGTGCGTGCTAAGAGAAATATTTTACTTGCCGCGCTATTAATCGTACGCTTGCTTCGTCTTACGATATATCATCCGGTATTCCTTCCTTGCTAATTCTTTCTCCGAAAGAATTAGTTATCGAACGTCCGAAGCAAACGAAAAAGCGAGGAAATAAACGACGACCGAGAGAGACTCGATGTTCTTCGATATCGGAAGCGTTCGCTGCTTCAACGAACCGAGGATTTTCCTCCCGCTATCACTGTCCTTCTTCTATCATTTCCTTCTTTTCGCTAGATCCCGGCCGTTCGAGAGCGGCGCTGTAAATTAAATCTCCAGCACAAGCAGCAAATTAAATCTCCAACGCGAGCTACATACCTTTCTACTTTATCGTTACGGAACAGAAGTCGGCCACCCATCGAACCGACTGCCGTGAATCGCGGGCGACAATACGACTGACTATAGTCGGTAGAGTACGGTTGTTCCACTTCACGCGATGTGTATTATTAATCCCGGGAACGTTTAACTCGTCATCTGTCGCTCACGCGACTCAGCGCGCTCCCTCGTCCCTGCGAACGTCGCGCTATCTCTAACGTTTTTCGAGAAACTCGTCGCTTCGCTCTCGACGAAACGAACTAATAAATTTTCGGATAAAACATTACGAAACGTATAGGAAAATTGTTCGGTTTCATTTCGCCACACATTTGGCGAAACATCCGCGATTTCGCGAAATATCTGTATTTGCAGAAACACGTGGGTGGAAGTTGAAAGGCTATTAAAGAGAGAAGAATAGCTCATTCATATTTATCGATCAAGCTGCCCTTACTTCCAATTACCAAACTCTGTAACTGACTGAGAATGCTCGATCGATCGGCCGATTCGAGACTCTCCATTGCGACCACCGGTATCCTATTCTCGTTTGGCGCCACCGTATACGAATAAAGAGCAAGAAGAAGTGGTACACTAGAGATACGACATGCGATATTTAATTGTAGTCGGGAATTCTAGTAGCAAAAATTGTTTGCAATTTTATAACGGGTGTCGAGATCAGGCGATATATATCAACACGATAGAAATTCGCGAAGAATTTTCAACGATGCACAAGTACGCGTGTACTGTCGATAAAAAAGCGATGGGTATTTATTGAAATATTTTCAACAACGGTACACGGATTCAAACGGTAAGAGGATTCTCGTGACGTTCGATGCAAATACACGTAGAAAATCGAACGATCCAGCTTATAGAAAATTCCAGGCCAACTCTTTTCACCGAACCAAGCGTACTCGATCACACGATTCGCTGATTAAAAGTTTGCCACGAACGTCACAACAATGGGCGAGTTGTTACACGGCAAAAAGTATTAATTGTCCATGGGAATATTAACAACGTCTGCCGTGTAGAATTTATAATTCGTAGGCGACATTTGTGACGGGTAGGTGGACGCTTCAGTCGTCATACCGTGCCTACCCTGTTTCAACCCCCATTCTCATGCCTATCCCCATCCGAGTCGACCATCTCCTGTGACAGTTTTCACGCGTAAATTCACACTCGTCCCTCATTTCAAAATCATCCATCTTGAAGCGCACGTGCACATTTGATATAAAAAAAACAACGCATGCAACGGTTCGTGGCAGCGAACGATTAAACATGTACGACCCCATGTATTTCGGAGCAACGAACGCAACGAAAAAAATAAAAGAGAAGGTGACATTTTGACGACACGATACTCCAAACGCTTTAAACATAGGGTGAAACATTCCATTGCGCACTGAGAGAGAAACCTAAAAATATATTAGTTTTCTTTTATTCTTTTTTTTTTTTCATTTTTCTCGTGTAACGCAACATACAAAGTTGTCGTGTCTCGTTTCGAAATTTATACGAATCGTGTGAAAAATCGTGCACAGACAACGACGATCTCTCGCAGGACCAGGAAAAACCGTAGAATAACCGTGTTTGCTGGGAGAACTCGTTTTCGTGAAAAATGATGTAAAGCGTAGTTCTTCGTGAAATCGAATTACACAGGCGGTGTGCAAATTTTGAACGTCGCCTTCCTCCAGAGTAGCAAGCTTCTCTTCGAGCAACAGAATTTTACAGCCAATTTTTCGTTAGCGTCGCGTCGTTCGACGCCGAAGACCGGCGCACGATTTTTCCCACGCCCTTGAACGAATCGTGTGACGTTATCCGCGTCGAAACGTCTCGACTCTTCGATCCTACGATCGAACGAGTGAAATTACCATCGTGCCGATTTATTTGATTGCATGGAAGTACGATCAAGGGACAATCTACAGATCGCGATGGTTGGAACGGGAGTGGCAAGGTTTCTCTCAGTACACGAGGCTTTAGAACGATGGAAAGGAGGGCGGTTCCGGGACGTTTCGATTCCGATTTCCTGCATTTCCTCGCACATTTCTCGACAGCGAGTGAATTTCTTTCAGGTCGGCACATCGAACAAAGCATTTCAGATATATTCGCGGCGAGAAACGAGAAGAGGACAGAGACGCGTCATCTCTCCAACGGTCCTCGCCGATAATCGAGTAGTGCGTGAAAGCTTTATCGTCCAAGGTGCAAGACTCTTCATTCCATTTCATTCCATTCCATTGCATCGCATTCCAAGCTTCGAAAGCATCGGGACATTGACGAGACCTGATATTATGCTGGTCGCGTATATTTTTGTTATATATATATATATATATATTCTTTTTTTTATTTATTCTTTTATTTTTCCTTTACAATAATCGTATAATCTATGCGATCTATCGTGGCGACTCGTTGACGACGCATTCGTTCGTCCGATCGAACGACAGGAACGTCGACTGAGGATGCAACGCATCGATTTAGCCGCGTTGCGTTACATGCAGCATAGGCCACGCAGCCTTTCGTCTTATCGTGTTACTTTTTGGTTCGTTCGTTTTATAATTTTTTTTTATTTTTTATTTTTTATTTATTTTCAGCGCATTCGTTCGTGACGGGGGTACAACCAGTAAGCGATCCAACATCGAACATCGCAAGCTTGTGTGTGTTTTAATGCCTCGTGCTGACAGATATATGTCGGGAGATGTCGGGGAGGTCTGTGTCCGGCGCCCAAGGTCACGGTGTGGAACATACAAAGCCTCTGTGAACATTGTGCATTCGCTGTCAGTGGAAGCTGTGTGAAAGGCTGGAACGCTGTGTTCCGGAAGGAAATCAGGGATCAAGGTTACGCTGGGATCATGCTTCGTCCAAGTTCCTCGTGTTTTCCGCTTGGCGCCCTCGAGATCGCGTCGCGCCGTACAAATTTCCAACTACCAACGCTAAATATCTCTCGCTAAATTTCAACCGGACGAAAAGAACAGTCAGCTACGCTGAACTAATGCCGCTACTGTCAGCCAATCGATAACGAATCTATAATGTGCAGCGGAAATAACGTCGGGGAAATTCGTGAGTCATTGTCTTTACGTATCGGGCCACGACGATTTCCTCGAAACGAAATAATTATATCTGTTACACGTACTTCCAGTAAGCTGTTATTTCCACTGCACGTTTATCGGATACGTTGGGATTCTCGAGAGCGGGAAATCAAGAAGCCATCACGCGGATTCGAATCTCGGCACGAGCAGAGACGTCTAAATCATTGAAGATGAACCGGTTCTAGAAAAGAAATGGCAAACACGTTCGGAGACGGTAGACTTCAATCTATCAACGGCCAGGACCGGCCGGTGTCCAACGGAACGGCAATTTGGTCGCGGAGACACGAGGATTCCAGGATTTTTGCAGCACCGGGTTATAAGGCAGAACATGAAAATAAGGTACGGGTGAGTTAAAGACATACGGAACGAGTTACGCAGCTTGCACGGCTTGGATCGTCTTCGTTAAAAGCAGAAAGATCAGCCTTTGACGAGCTCTAACCTTTTTTACGATTCCGTTCTAAACGATAAACGGTCCGAGCGTTGAACGTTCTTCGCGAAGCTTTCATTTTTTGTCTATTCGATCAGTGAAAGGAGCCACGTTAAAGCCGCCACTTGGCTCGAACGTAATCGTCTATCCTCTAGAGACAGAAGATACTGGAAGCCGTGGCAAGAACCGTTCTCGTTCCATACACAGAGACAAGGTATATAAACTGTATAAACGGCAAGGTGAACACGTAGCTCCGCTCGAACGGAGAAAATAGAAGAAAGGCAATATGCGAGAGAAACTCACCGTTTCGTCGTTTTAACGCGACGATAACGGCGAT